CAGGGAACTCCTGAGGGATGGACCTCAGCTCCAGGGAGCCTGAGCTGCCATTATCTCTTGGCTTCTTTCCTGGAATTTGCTTTTTTTTTTTTGCCCTGCAGCAGGGGGGTTTGATATTTTCTTTTCAGAATGCAGATATCTCTGCCAGCAAGGAGGTTCTGTGGATCCTGGGGCCACGAGATAGGAGCTCCTGTCCTGGGATGGGCTCCTGGGGGGGCTCGCTGTGCCTGCTGCCCCTGCACAGCTCGGTGGCACCACCAGGACTGCGCTCCCAGCTGTGACAAACGCGGGGAGGACAGGGAAGAAGGGGAGGACAGGGAAGAAGGGGAGGACAGGGAAGAAGGGGAGGGGATGCTCTGGTGACCCTAAGGTGACTCTCCTTGTTTCTGCAGTGCCCTGGGGTCCTCAGCCCTGAGGGCTTTGTGCTGGAGCACAGAGGGTTGAATTTCTTCTCCAGAGCAACAAAAAAGGGCCAAAGCCCAGACCCAGGAGTATTCCCAGTTCCTCGGGCAGTGGAGCATTGCTCGGGCGCTGGGAGGTGACTGCCCAGGAGCTGCTGAACTTCCCAGCGTCTCCATTTCCACTGGCCTTGGGATCTTTGTCCATCCCCGTGGGCAGAGGCTTTGGGGACACTGGAGGTGACAGGGGAACAGCCAGGGAGCAGGAGACACCAGGGGAGCAGGGAGGGACATCCAGGGGGATCCCATCGGGTTATGAATGCTTCGCATTTACAGCGGGGAGGGAGAACTGCAGAGGGCACCAGCAACCCACGGAACTGCTGTGCCGGGAGGAGCCTCCGCACCCGCCTGGCCCCGGGGACATCCCGGGAACCGAGCGGGCTCCGGGACCATCCCGGGAACCGAGCGAGGCCACCCCGAGACCCCCGCCTGGCTCCGGGACCACCTTGGGGCCACACCGGGAACCCAGCAGGACAATCCTGGGGCCACCCTGGGAACAGAGAGGGCTCTGGGACCACCTGGGAACCATCCTAGGGCCATCCCGGGACTCCTGCCGGGCTCCGGGGCCATCCCGGGAACCGTGAGGGGCCACACCGGGACCATCCCGGGAGCTCCGCGGGCTCCGGGAACCCAGAGGGACAATCCTGGGGCCACCCTGGGAACGGAGCGGTCTCCGGGACCATCCTAGAGCCACCCTGGGACCCCCACCTGGCTCCAGGGCCATCCCGGGAACTCAGAAGGACAATCCCGGTGCCATCCCGGGAGCCCCGCCTGACTCCGGGGCCATCCCGGGACAATCCCGGTGCCATCCCGGGAGCCCCGGTGCCCGTCACCAGCAGCACCCCTGCGGCTGCAGAGCCAGCCGCTGTTTGCTGGAGAAGCTGCGGACACGTTGGGACGCGGAGGAACGGCCAGAGCAGGGGCTGAGCTGAGCTGTGTTGTGGAGGTTCTGCCCTTTCGGCGCTCTTTGCTGGGGTTCATCACGGGACACTCTGAGCTGGAGGGGCTGCACTCAGGTACCCGACAGGAGGGTTCGCTCCTGGGGTTTCACCTCTGCAGAGGTCTGAGCAGCCCGGGAAGGACGGGGAAGAGCAGAGAGCACAGCAAACCCCCGAAACTCAGAGCTGGGGGAATTCAGCTGCTGAATTCCTCACCTTCCTCCTCACCAGCTCGCCCTCCGAGCAGGAGGGAGCTCCCCGAGCCCAGCTTTGGCTCCTGCCTTGCCTCAAAGCTCAGCTCAGCACAGACACCGTTCCCAGCTCCGCTCCCCCAGGCAGAGCCAGCAGCATCCTTCTGTCCTTCTGCCCGACCCCCGGCACTCCGAGGGGTTTCCAGCAGCCTCTGGGTTTCCAGCTGAGTTTTCCAGGTCTGAAATCCCATTTCCATCCCGGATTTCCAGGCTGCATGTCCTCGCAAAGAGGAGGAAGAGGGACGGGGGCTGTTCCCCCCTGGTGTTTGCACACACTTTACTCGGGGTGTAACTATTACTCACCGCAGATGGCAGCGCAGCGGTCACGTCTGAAAACACCGCTATTTTTAGCAGGTAGGTATTTCTAAATGTTTACAGCCGGCTGAGCCTTCCCTCGGGGCAGCCCAGGGGCCGGGGCTGTGGGTTTGGGGCAGCGCTGCCCTCCTCCAGCACACCTGGAGCAGCTTCATTGACTTTCCCCAACAAATGGCTGCTCCGGGTGAGCAAACACCCCGGGCCTTGGGAGCGGCTGAGGAGCGGGGCAGCTCCTCTCCCTCCCTTCCCTCCCATTTTCTGTGCTTTAATTCCCAGCGGGAATGGCCCTCTGTAACAGACAGCCCCGGGATGAGCTGCTGGAGCAGCACCCCAGGGTGGGTGGGTGAAGGCTGATCCCCCGGAGCAGCTGGCAGGGATCAGCTGCCAATTAAAATCCAAACAAAAAAGATAAACCAGTGATATTTTTCAAATCCTTCCCTTGCTGTCCTGGCTTTGCTGCCCCTCTGTGCAGCACAAGGAGGTTTTCTAAGAACAAGAGGAAATAAACCCATTTATCATGATTGGAAAGGACAGGTGGGAGCTGAGCTGTTCTGGTCCCACTGGGTTTGCTGCCTCCTCACCTGCCCAGGTTGGAACTGAGCCCCTCCCCAGGCCATGCAGGGACTGGGGATGATGAAGGACTGATGAAGGACTGATGACTCCTCTGGCTCCTTGGGAACTAAAACCTTCCAGCTGAGATCATCTGGGCTGGACAGAGGCCCGTGGTGAGCTGTGACCCACAGGTGCTCTGCCCAGAGCCGGAGGTTCCCAAGGATGTGAGACACAAACAATTTCTCCACCAGCAGCTGCTGCTTCCCAGCTCACAAACTCCTCTTCCTTCCTGTCTCCAGCATGGAAATGTCTGGAGATGACCAAGGCAGGCACAAAGGTCTCACTTCTGATCTGAAGCCAAAAGGCTCTGTCAGAGTCCTCCAGGAGATCATGGAATGGTTTGGGTGGGAAGGGGCCTTAAAGCCCATCCAGTCCCACCCAAACCATCCCCGATCCTATTTCAAACATCTTTTGATCCATGAGCCCTTTCCTCCTCTCACCCCAGCGCAGCAGCTCTGTCTGAATAACATCCTGCTTGTGTTGAGACAATGAAAGCATCTTTAGAAGAAAAAAGGCATTTCTAGATCCCGTGCAAGGCTGCCCTCTGTCAGTGGGAAGCCATTCCCCCTTCTCCTGTCACGCCAGGCCCTTGTGAGGAGCCTCCCTCCAGAGACACTCACTGGAGGTGTCTCACTGCAAGAAAATATTGCAGCTATTGAAGCCAGATGTGTTTTATTGTCACTGATAATGCAGTTTCTGTGCTGGTGGGAGGCCTGGCTCGTTATGTGGTTAAAAATGGCCTGCTGTCCCCAGCAGGGATTATCCCATGGCCTCAGCCAGCCACAGATGGGACCCTGCACGTGGAAAGGCTCTGCAGGAGGGGCTCACCAGATCCTGTGCCACAAATAAATTGATTTGCAGAACTGATTTACCCCGTCAACCCAGCTCACGTTTTAATCAGCAAATCCCAGTTGCAAACAGTGGCTGTGAATGATTTTCACATGCAAACTGATTGTTCCTTCCTGCTGCCAGAGCCTGAACCATCCCCAATTAACTGCAACCCTTCAGAACTCCCCTAGGGAAGAGAAAATGTGAAACCCACCTGTTTCCTTCAGTAACTGTTTAATTTAACACACTCAGACCCCAGCACAAGGCTTGTCCCTTTGCAGTCCTGGGAGGGTGACAGGCTGTGGGACAGATGGTGCTGGGGACAAGGGAACCAGGACTGGACACATAAAAACCTGACACCACCTTGGAACGGAATAAAGCACAAATGGTGAAGTCATGGCTTGTGTTTTACATACAAATCACACACAGGAATTTCCCCCTTTGGACAGCCCAGGGAGGTGCACCTGGAGCTCCAGCCTCACTCTGCCCAGTGCAGGGATTGCCCTTCAAGGTCCCCCAGGTTTTGGGCACCCTCCACACCCTGAGGAGTAGCAGGGAAAGGAATTCCTACCGAAATGCTCCTGCCCTCCTCCAGAGCCCACCCCGGAGAGACAGGGAGGGATCTGCTCCCACACTGCTCTGGGAGCAGGCAGCAGGGGCTGTGCCTCAGAGTAAATTGGATATTCTAGTTAAAAATCAGCTAACCTTAACAGAGGAGAATCTAGATAAGCAGGAAAAAAAAGGGTTCAGCCTGTAAGGCCACAGAAAAACACCTTAACCAAGCATTACATTGCTACACGTACAGAAATGCAGGGAGAGAGGACCTGGCTGCCCACCAGGGAGGGGATGTGCCCTCACTGCCAGGGCAGCTCCCCTCTCCTGCCCAAATGCATGCAAGGGAATGTCCTGGTGGGCTCCAAACCCCCAGGTGTCCCTGGAGATGCCCTCTGCCCCAGAGGGACACAGCAATGGCTTTGGCAGAGAAAGCCAGCAGTGGGGACATGGGGTACAGAGCCCTGCACAGCCCCAGCTGAAGCTGAAACTTTGTTCCTCTGCCCTGTCTCCACTTCTTAAATTAAATCTGTTCAGCTTCAGTGCGTAAACATTTTAATGAAAATTACAGGAATGACTTGCCACCTTCAAGTCCCTTAAAAGAAAAAAAAAATAAAAAAATCCCTACCCCAAAGGGTGTGCAGGGCCGGTGGAATGCTGGATGCTCACCTCAGAGATATAAAAATAATAATAAAAGTCAAGGTTTGTGCTGGCCAGCCAACACCTTCGAGAGGCTGCAAATGTCAAAGGATAGCACCATAAGCATTTCTGAGAGGTCTGCCCCGAATTTCTGCTGCTTTCAGCTCCCCTTTGGCTCCCGGGGCAGCGTGACCCCAAAAGTCCCTCAATGAGCAGGGGCTACAGGACAAGTCCCACCCCCAGCCCCACCGATGGTTTGAGCACCGTGCTTAGAAAATTCAGTTCCAGAGCCTGGAGACCGCCGGGCTGTGGCACACACACACACACAAACACACACAAACACACAAACACACACACCACAGAGCCACCAGTGCTGCCACACGGGGCTGGCCTTGGCGACAGCGCTGTCACCTCCGGGAGAGGCGCTGGCAGCTCCGGCAGCACTGGCTGCGCACCGGGGGCACCTGGCACCTGCCCAGCAGCCGCAGAGTCCGGCAGAAGGCGAAGCTCAGGCGGTCGCGCTCGCAGGGGACACCTGCAGGGGAGGAGGCAGCACACGAGGGTTGGGAAAGGTCAGGGTTTCACAAGAATAGAAAGATCTCCGAGCGTAGAATCTAAGAAAAGAATAGAAATGACAGCAAGTTTTGATAGAGAAGGAAAGAATTGCTGAGCTCTGAGGATAAATTTTCAGGTTGTTTTTTTTTTTAATGAGCTAAGCAGCTAATAGTCGGTATAAGGTTGTTTATTGCAGAAGTACATCAGTTTTAAAGTAAAAGTCACGGGCACTAAAGTCTATGCTAAGTTTTGGTATAAAGTTCTAAACAGAATCAGAAACAAAGCAAAAGCAAATGGCAAAAAGCAAATGGTAAAAAGCAAATGGTAAAAAGCAAATGGTAAAAGCAACGGCAAAAGCAATGGAAAAAAGGAAATGGCAAAAAAGGAAATGGTTAAAGCAATGGTAAAAAGCAGCAGCTCTCCCCAGTGCACATTCTTATATAGAAACGTTTCAACAAGCTAAGACACAAACTCGGACTGCTACCTTTAAACTTATTAGAATTTCAGTTTCTTAGCAGGCCAGGTTATGTATGTATGTGGTCTATCTTGTTTCATCTGAAAAATGTAAACAATATTTTTACTATCGTTTTCTCAGGTCTAAGACTAAGTTCTTGGAGCCTCCACGGAGCCCTGGTATCTAAGACTGTTTTTTAACTTTCACTAGGAACTTGTACACTGGTACCTAAGACCTTTTGTTTACTGAAAGCACTTCAAACCTGTTTTACCTACTTAATAACTTGCTTATTTTAAAACTTAAAATTTTACTTTATGTGTGAGCAGCTTAACATACTTCAAAGGCTTTAATTCAATCTCTCCACTCTGATTTCTCTCTGAAGAATTCAGAGAAACTCCTGACTTACTGACTCCAACACTGAGCCAGTCTGACTGGGTAACGAGAAGGCAAAAAGCAAAGTGAATTGGAAAGGGCTTTTATGACTTAATGCAAAGGATAAATCCACCCCAAACAAAAGATGGTTTTACCAAGCAAAAAGATTTTCACAGACAAACAAGGAAGCCAATGTTGCAAGTAAAAAAAAAAAAAATCTCAGAATTTCCCACTACAAGAAAACTGAAATAGAACTTCAGGCTTAAACTGTAACACACTGACCTTTTGTGATTGGAAAATAGTACCATGAATATGGAAATGTTAGTAGTTAGGATAGGCTGTAGGTAATAGTGAAGGTATTGATTGGTTGTCATGTTTTAAGATGCTCTGTAATGAAAAATAAATAATGCATTGTAACCAGAACTAGAAAAGGGCTTCAGACAAAGCCCCAGCTGAGGTGACAGCCTGTGGGCTGGGCTCTGTCACCCATGACCTGTGAACTGCTGAATCATTTCAATGCAATAAACAGCATTTTAAATAATAAATAAATAAATGGCTGAATCATTTCAATACAATAGACAGCATTTTAAAGAATCACCTAAAGCCCCACATCCCTCACTTCATCTCTTACACACGAGGGTGTCAGTGCCAGCTCACCTGGTGTGAAAATGTGCAATGAGACGATTGTTAAATGAGATGTGAAATGAGACGATTGTTAAATGAGACGATTGTTAAATGAGATGATTGATTGTTAAATGAGATGATTGATTGCTAAATGATTGTTAAAGGTCCCTCCCAGCCCAGACCCTGCCAGGGCTCTGTGGGAGCTCACAGGCACACACAGGGCTCTGTACCTGGGCACTGCACCTGGGCACTGCCCATCCCCAGCACAAACCTCACCTGGCTGCTGCCAGCAGCTCCAAAGCACCTCCCCAGGGCAGGGATGCTCCCAGGGCACAAATCCCTGGTTCTGACCCCTCCTGCCAGTGCCAGCAGAGTGGAGGAAAGGCCAGAATTCCTTTTTCTTTGAATTGTTTCGGTTATTTTGAGAACCTGCATCATCTGCTTGGCTTCCTGCAGGTGTCCTGCAGCCCTCAAAACAACTCTGGGCTTTGTTTTGGGAATGGCTGCTCGGGGGGAGCACCAGGCTCAGTCCAGCAGCACAGACCCATCACCAAATACACACGGTTTGTGTGAACACAGGGCTGGCTGGTTTGAATTTTTCATTTCCTCCTTCTCTATCTCAGAGGACTCCCTGAGCCTGCAGCTTCTCACCCAGTGGTGTGAGACTGGCTTAAATTACATCAACTCAAAAGTGAGCTTAAAACCCGTGATCCTGTGATTCCAATTTTGTACAAGGAATTAAAATAAGGACAGCTTTTCTCAGGAAAAGGGCAGAGCTGAGGCACCCCATTGCTCCTCCCTGGGCACCCTCCACCAGGACCCTGCAGGGCAGGGGCAGAAATGGGGCAGAAAAATGGGGTTTTTCTCTTTCTCAGGACACTTCTCTGCAGGGGAAATGCTGTGAGTGACCACTGCCCCTGGCCCTGTCCCCTGTGGAACAAAGGCAGTGCTGAGGGAACGGCTGCTGCCCCCATTCCCACGGGATGAGCCGAGGCAAAGGATGCAGCAGATGCAGAGCAGAGACCTTTCCCCTGGTTTGGGATTTCAGTCACAGCCCCCTCCCCCAGCCCAGCAGTGAGGAGGTCACTACACTGCTCTAAAAATTATTTTCTGTTTCAGCTGAGGTATTTCCTCCCTGCCTCCTGAGCTGCAGCTCTTTGTGCCCGGCCAGAGCACCCCTGTGCCCCTAAAATGCAATTTATCCATTTATCCATGGATCCAGCAGTGCTGACAGGGTGGCACTGAGGGGATCCCATCACACTCCAGCCTGGGGGCTCAGTCCCTGCCTGCTGAGACACCAGCAGGGGATTTTCTTTCCCTGCACAGCCCAGCCAGGAGTGCAGCACACCCCAGACCTGCTGTGAGAGCACCAGAGCCTCTGGAAAAAGGGAAATGCTTGCTGGTGCTGTGCTCCACGGGGCTGTCAGGATAACATTCCCTGGGAGCATCCCTGAACCCCAGGGGGATGCTGCACTGGGACACTGGAGCACAGGAATGCAGGTGCTCCCTCCTGAAACACCTCAGGGGTGTCCCAGGACAGTGGGAACCAGCCTGGATGCCCATGGGATGGGATAGGAGAGGTGGGAATGTCCTGGGCACTGCTGGGGGATGCTCTGGGCACATCCTGTCCAGCCCCTCAGAATGTTTAGCACTCACAGCTTCCTAGAAAGTTATTTATGGATCACAACCAAGCTGCCCCCTGCCTTCCCTGGAAAGAGCTGTGAAGGCTCTCACTGAGAGGCTGCTTTCCAGGCTTGGAGGGATGCTTCAGCCCTTCCCTGATCCCTTTCCCACCAGGAAATTCCTGTCCCTGCACCGTGCCCAGGCAGCAATGAGCCCACCCTGCCAGGGGTTACTGCTCTCTGAACACCTCCCTACCCACAGGGGATGGGATTTCTGTGCAAAACAGCAGGGATGGGCTTGGGGATGGGGGAAGAGCCAGCACCCTTGGCTGGAGGCTCTGCTGACCTGACAGGAGACCCCAGCACAACCCCAAAGCCAAACGACCTCATGGATCATAAAAACATCCAAATTGGCAGGGACCCACAGGGATCATCCAGGCCAAGGGCTGGCCCTGCACAGGACACCCCCACATTCCCACCCCAGGCCTGAGAGCGTTTTCCCAACACTCCCTGAACTCAGTGAAGTCAAAGCTTTGAGGGTTTGAGTTCCCATCGCTTCCCCAGGCCCTGCTGCAGTCTCAGGGTGGATGTGTGCAGGGTCAGGCTCAGGTCTGAGCATCTTGGCTGAGCTTGTGATTCCTCCCTGGAATCTGCTCTTGGGGAGGGAAGATGTAATAAGCACTTAATTTGTCAGCTCTTCAGAGAGGGACCTACAGAACCCACCCAATTTTCATTTAATCCTTTTCCTGCCATTTCTTTCTATTAACAATTTTTTTATATAATTCTCGCACTTCATTTGGACACACGTTCCATAAGTCCATGCCAAATTTTAGGCTAAAGAAATAGCTTAAAGCAAGGCTTTAAAAATCCAGGCTGAGTCAGCACATTAGAGACTGAAAACCCCCACTTTTTTGGGGGCTGTTTTTTTAGGTCGGTGTGGAAGTCGCTTTAAATTTCATTTAAGCTTCTGCCAGCCAGACCTAAGCTTTTACTTTTATTCCTGGGAAAAATAAACTTCCTGGAACATGTTTTGTAAAAACAAGGAAAGGTTGAGCTTGGAGCTGAGCTAGCAAATCCAGGGAATTAGGCTGCTGACCTCTGGCCCTGGGGATGCTCTCAGAGCCAGGGCTGAATTTAACAAATAAATTATCCCAGGATCCTGCTCTGGGGCTGAGGTGCCTCCCTGTGGTCTCTGGGCAGCTGGATGGGATTTTGGGATGGGATGGGACTTTGGGATGGGATTTTGGGATGGGAGGGATCAAACCTGCACAGGCTGGCACTGACACAACCACAGCTGGGAAAAGTGGGAGAACCCCACGAACCCCCCATTTTTCAGGTGTCAGCCCTGCTGCAGGCAACATCTTTCTCCTACATTTTATCACAACAGGGAGTCCTTTCTGGAGCATCCCTTTCCCATTGACTCCTGTTGTTAATTAGCAGTTAATTAATTGCTCTCCATGCCTCACTCAGCAGCACCTCCCGGCCTCACCACTTAGATAGGGACTTACATGCTCAAATGATGGAGAAAATTGGGATTTGCTGCAATTATTTCCCACATGGATCCCTTGTGGACGAACTCTGTGACTTGCAGAACCACAAACAATTTCATTTCCTTGCTCAGAGCAAGCAGGAGCACCACGTTTAATTGCCAATTAATCTTGTGGCAACTGGAAGTGCAGCCAGCCCTGGATAACGAGCTGGCAAATGGGGGCAGTGGGACAGGGATGGGGTCTGGGGCTGACCCATGGGACCCCCAGGCACTGCTGCTACCCAGCACGACCCCCTGTGCTGGCTGGGACATGGGGCTGGGATCCTGGGATATGGGGTTGGGATATGGGGCTGGAATCCTGGAACACGGGACTGGGATCCTGGGACATGGGACTGGGATCCTGGGATATGGGGTTGGGATTCTGGGATATGGGGCTGGAATCCTGGAACACGGGGCTGGGATCCTGGGATATGGGGCTGGCCTCCATCCCACTGCTCTGTGCTGTTCCCAGAGGAACTGCAGCACTTCACACACACTTGTCCCTGAGCCAGCGAAGTCTTCACCTCATCCCTTTGGAATTCCAAGCTGAGACACCTGTGGGACAGCCCTGTTTGGAGCCAAGAACTGGCCCCATCACCTGCCAGGGGCAGATCTGGGGAACTCAGACACCTCCCTGGTATGGGATCTGGAGAAATGGGCATGAGGGAATTGATTTGTTCCATGGCATGACCGTGATGGGCACTGGGGTGCCCTGCTCTGTCCTGGGCAGGGATGTGTCAGCACCAGCAGGATCTGCCCAAAGCTGTGTCCAGCACCCTGCAGTGAGCAGCCCCCTTCAGCCCCTGCCTCCTCCTCCAGAACACAGCAATTCCCACTTGTCTGCTTTAAATCTGTCTGATCTGCTGCAGAAACTGCTGCAGGCTTCTCGTGCAGACCTGGGGCTCATGATTTCCTTTCCAAGACACCAGAAACAATTCCCAGAGAAACGTCCCCAGCCTCTGGAGCATCACTCGGAGGCACTGGGGTGCCCATGGCTCTGAAGCTCCCAGGAGCCATCTAAGGACACACTCACAGCTGGCTGCAGCTGCAAGGCAACAGCCACATTCAAAAATAACCTTGGTGGAATCTTCAATTAATTTATAACCTGGCAACAGCTCAGGACTCTGGCTCTAATTAATCCTCCCTTAATTGAGGAGCTGATTGCTGTGAGATGTTTGTTTTTGCTTCATCTGTTCCATCTCTGCTCAAAATCCATCTGATAATGGTTTGAACATTTGAGCCCTACTGGGGTTATTGGCACTTTTGTGTCCAGTGAGGACATGACCACTCACAGCCCCAGCCCTGGTTCTGCTCATGCCAGAGGAGGGAGAAGCTCCTTGTGCTCCTCACAAAAACATGGATTGCTCCAGCCCGAATCCATCTTGTGCAGTAAAGATCCCTCAGAGCACAGGAAAGGGCTGGAATTACATTTATGTCTTTCTGGGAGCCTTTGCCTGTGCATTTACACATCTGGGATTTCCTGCCATGTGAAAGTTTTGTTCCCCTTCATGCTTTGGCTGGAAACGTTTGTATTTCCAAGAGGCGTTTCCTGCCCTGGGCTGCAGCCAGAGCATTTATGTCATTCTTGATCCAGGATTTTACCATTTATTTGTGTGCTTCCTACACATCTCAGTGGTTATTCTGGTCCAGCCTTGGCTCCACAGCTCTCATCACCAAGCCTGGCACGGAAATTTTCCCCTGACCAAAACAACTGGAACCTCAGATCGTGTCTTGAGCAGGGCTGACTCAACATTTCCTAAACGCTGGAGTGCCCCTTGGCCCTTCAAGGGCTCCAAAAAGGAGCAGATTTATGGCTAAAAACATCCTGATGGCCAACAGAGCCAGTGCCTAAATCCCAGTTAAGCAAAGGCAATGCTCTGCCTGCTCTGGAATGGGTGTTAGGAGGAAAACGCTGGGCATGGGATAAACAAAAGCAGCTGCAAGGCTGGAAGGGGGGTCCCAGGCTGCCGAGGGGACCCAGGGATGTGTGCACAGCCCTGGATCCTCAGGGATGTGTGCAGAGCCATGGATCCTCAGGGATGTGTGCAGCCATGGATCCTCAGGGATGTGTGCACAGCCCTGGATCCTCAGGGATGTGTGCAGAGCCATGGATCCAGCTCCTCCACCCCTGGCACCAGCTGCTGCTGCCCCCCTGCCCCATCTCTCAGCCCTCCCTTTGTCCAGCAAAGCTCCTGGAGGTCCAACAACACTTTCTGGGCAGTCAAAGAGCTTTTCTCTTGCACAGACACGTTAAAAAGATAAAGCTGATAAGTGACTGACACGCTGATATCAGTGATATCTAATCCCTCATTATATTGCTTTTCTGCAAGTGCTGTTAACCCTTGCAGTCCTCAGATTTCCCAGGGAACTGCCTGTGCTTGGGATGTATCTCTGTGAGTAGAGGAGGGAGAAGAAGCCAAGTGAGTGCCCTGGAGTGCCCTGTGGCTGCAGCCAGGGCAGGTAAATGACAAACAGGTTAAAATGGGGCTGGCTCCTTGGAGCACCTGCTCAGATACACCTGAAGATGTTGGAGAACTGCTCCTTTATTCCATTTTCTGATGCTGGGCCCAGCTTGTTTCACAAGTCTTGTGTTCTGGGATTTTACCACTAAACAGCTTCCTGAGAGCTCCATCACTGGGTATTCCTCTCTGCCTTCCTTTTCCTGAGTGCCCTTCTGGCTGGGGTCCCTTCACCCCACAGGGTCCCTCAGTGTCCCTGTGCTGGGTGACACTGCTGACTCCAACAAGCACATCCCAGCTCACATCCGTGCCAGCAAAACCCTGCCTGGCCCCTGAGGGACGGATGTTCTGGACATTTATAGACAGTTATAACATTCCCACTTAATTATCAATTAGCCAAGTCAGCCTTACACAATCCATGTAGGAAATCCTCACTCCACCTCCCCACAGACTCCCCACATCATTTTCCACGCTGGTTTTTCCTGCTGCTCACCTGGCTCGGAGCTCTCACAGTCCTGGGGGTTGCACTTCTGGGTGCTCTCTGGCCGTGGTTCATGGTCACACAGGCTGCTGTCCTCCTCTGCCGCACCTGTCCTGGTGTCCATGCACTTCACCTGGCGCCGCTGGATGCCCCCTCCGCAGGGAGCCGAGCACTGCGGGAGCAGCAGTGGGGTCAGAGCCCCCAGTGCCACCCTGGGCACAGCGCTGCCATCTCCCCCGCCCTGTCCCTGCAGCTGGCACTCACCTGTCCCCAGGAGCCCACCACCCAGGTGGTGCAGGGCTGGGTGTTGCAGGGCCGGGTGCTGTTGGGTCTCGATGTCTCCTCGCAGCGCCCGGGCTCCGGGCACGTCACCAGCCGAGCCTGCTCCCCTCCACCGCAGGGCTCTGAGCACTGCGGGATAAACACAGCCACAACCCTCAGCGGCTGGGGGCTGCACCCCCTGCAATGGGCAGAGCTGGGGGCTGCACCCCCTGCAATGGGCAGAGCTGGGGGCCGCACCCCCTGCAATGGGCAGAGCTGGGGGCTGCACCCCCTGCCCTGGAGAGAGCTGGGGGCTGCACCCTCTGCCCTGCACAGAGCTGGGGGTGCTCACCTGGAGAGCTCAGAGCCCCTTCCAGGGTCTAAAGGGGCTCCAGGAGAGCTGGAGAGGGACTGGGGACAAGGGATGGAGGGACAGCACACAGGGAATGGCTTCAGAGTGGAAAAGTGGAGATTTAGATGGGATATTGGGAAGGGATTGTTCACTGTGAGGGTGGTGAGGAGCTGGGCTGGAATTCCCAGAGCAGCTGTGGGGACAGGGCTTGGAGCAGCCTGGGGCAGTGGAAGGTGTCCCTGCTGTCCCCATGGGCAGTACCTCTCTCCAGGATGATGTGTACCAGGGCAGGCACGGCGAGCTCCGGCACGGCAGCTGTGCCGGGGGCTGGGACAGCCCGGGCTGGCAGTGGAACGGCCGCAGCAGCCGCTGGTCCCTGGTGTCAACACAGTGAACGTCCCGGACCTTGGTGCCACCGCCGCAGCTCCTGGAGCACTGGGGAGGAACACAAAACCAAAATGGGGAGGGACAGAGCATCAAAACGGGGAAGGGCAGCATGGCCAGCGCAGGGGAGTCCCTGTGGGCAGGGGAGGTGACCCCAGGGACACGCTCTGCTGGGGCTGGGCTGAGCTGACACTCCCGTCTGTGGAACAAGAACAGTCTTTGTGCCTGAAAGAACTGATGATCCCAAGGAAGAGTGACCACCCAGAGCAAGGAGGGCTGTTCCCCACCGCCAAACCTACCAAATCCACCCAGCCCAGCTGCAAACATCCCCTGGCAGTGCAGAGTGCCCAGTGGGCACAAATCACAGAACCACAGAATGGTTTGGGATGGACCTTACGCCCACCATGCTCCAAACCCCTACCATGGAGTGACACCCGCTAGACCAGGCTGCCCATCCCACCCAACCCGGCCTTTCATCAAATCACTTTGTTCAGCTTTTGCAAATTCCTGACTTTTTTACCGGCCCAAGAGCGGGAAAAACGAAAATATTTTGGGATGAGTAGTTCAAACCCTACGGCGAGCACGGCAACCTATGTGAGCCACGGGGCAGGAACCCTCCCCAAGAGCAGCCGTGACCTGCCTTGTCCCATGGGTTTTGGGGACCCCTTCCCCACAGAGCCCCTCACCTTGCTCCAGTTGCCCACTCTCCAGGCCGAGCAGGGTCTCAGGGAGCACCTCCGGGCAGGGACGGGCCTGTCGGCCTCGGCACAGCCGCCATCGCTGCTGCAGCGCACGGGCCTCCACACGGCGCCCAGGCCGCACGTGGCCGAGCACTGCGACACAGGGACACCAATGTCCCCATGGCCCACAGCCACACAGCCCTGACCCTCCACCCCACAGCCACACAGTGCTGACCCTCCACCCCACAGCCCCACAGTGCTGACCCTCCACCCCACAGCCACACAGTCCTGACCCTCCATCCCCACAGCCCCACAGTGCTGACCCTCCATCCCCACAGCCCCACAGTGCTGATCCTCCACCCCACAGCCACACAGCCCCACAGTGCTGATCCTCCACCCCACAGCCACACAGTCCTGACCCTCCACCCCACAGCCACACAGCCACACAGTCCTGACCCTCCACCCCACAGCCCCACAGTGCTGACCCTCCATCCCCACAGCCACACAGTGCTGACCCTCCATCCCCACAGCCCCATAGCGCTGATCCTCCACCCCACAGTGCTGGTCCTCCACCCCACAGCCCCACAGCGCTGACCCTCCATCCCCACAGCCCCACAGCGCTGACCCTCCATCCCCACAGCCCCACAGTGCTGACCCTCCACCCCACAGCCTCACAGCCCTGACCCCCAGCTCCACACCTGGCCAAGGAAGGAGCCTGCAACACAGGGACACCAATGTCCTGCACCCCTCCATGCCACAGACCTGACCCTGCTGTCCTGCACCCCACAGCCCTGACCCCCAGCTCTGTGTCTGGCCAAGGAGGGAGCCTGCTGAGCCAGGGACCCTCCATGCCTCCATCCCCAAAGCCCCAACCGCCAGCTCGGCATCGAGCCGAGGATGTCACACTGTTCATGGCACTCACCACCCACCTCACTCCAGTTCCCGACCTCCCAGCTGGGCTTGGCAGTGGCTGATGGTGGCAGCAGAGCCTCCTCTTCCTCCTCCTCTTCCTCCTCCCTCTTCTCCCAGAGCGGGGGGAGCAAAGGAGGGGGCTTGTGCCCCCTGTCACTGGAGGCAGATGTCCCTGGGGGTGCCCATGTCGCTGGGGGTGTCCCTGCTGAGGGCTCCCTGGGTGCAGTGACACTGAGCAGGGTCCCATGGGAGGTCAGCTCAGTGCTGGGCCATGCTGGATCCGTGTGCTGGGACAGCCCCTGTGTCCCCCATTCCAGGGGAGACCCTGCAGCGTGGGCAGGTGGGCCCTGAGCTGGGGCTGTGGGCACGGCTGGCACCAGGGCATCCTGCTGGCTGAGGCCACTGGAGGTGAGCTGGGGGACTGGGCTGGGCATGGTAGGGGACAAGGACACTGGAGGGGCTGTTGTGGCCACCCAGGGGGTTGAGGTGGGAGCTGTGGGGGTGTGGAGCTCTGGCTGCTGCCCTCCGTGTCCCACAGGAGCCCCGTCAGCACCCACATGAGGGGGACTCAGGGCAGGGTGGGGGCTGCCAGCACTCCCTGCCACCTCCCAGCCCGGGGTGGGCAAAGCAAGGTGTGCCCTGTCCATGCCATGGGCTTGCCCTCCTGCCTGTGTGTCCAGCACCCCCTCTGGCATTCCTGCCCACCCGTGCCGCCCCGTGGGCCGTGGGGCTGCCCCATCAATGTCACTGGTGATGGCCAGACCCATTTCCCTGGAGTCCTGGTGGCCTCTCCCTGCAGACCTGGCCGTGCCGTGTCCCTCTGTGCTCACACTGCCCAGTGCTCCTGGCCCGTGGGGCACACCCACAGTGGCACTGCCCCAGCCCGTGGGCACCTGAGCAGCTGGCTGGGGACCCCAGGAGCCATGGGCTGGGACACCCTGCCCAAGGCTGGTCCTGCTGGGCACAGCTCTGTGGGGTCCATCCCATGGGTGGCCGTGGCTCACAGAGCTCTGGGTGGGTGGGTGCTGCTCAGAGTGGGGCACAAGCACTGCATCCTCCTCCTCACCCCAAAAGCCAGGGGTGGTGTATCTGGGCCTGGCTGATCCCACATCCTCAGGGGCCACGCTCAGGAGGTCATTGGTGGCCAAATCCCCGGGCTCTGTGCCTCGGTGGTGCCCAGGAGCAGAAGTGTTTTCCTCCTCGGTGCCTGGGTGCTCCTCGCTGTCTCCTCCCAGCTCGGTGCTGAGCAGAGCCTCAGTGGGCACCTCCCAGGGCCCCTCTGTGCCACCAGGGCTCAGCTCTGGCTTTGGCTCCTCTCCTTTGCTCTCCTTCTCCGTGAAGGGGTAGTAGGACAGATCCTCGTGGAAGTTGATGAAGTTATAATCGTAGTAAAAATCATCCACAAAGACATTTCCTTTCCTGGCTGAGAAATCCTCCTCGGTGATGACATTGACGTCGTTGGACTCCGGGATGTTTGGGATTAAGGGGTTAAATTTAGGAATGTGGTTGCTGGGGATGTAATGGATTTCATTAAATACCTCCCTGCTGGAGGAGCCGCTGCCAGACCAGTCGGCACTGTCCCAGTTCTGGTGGCACTGTGGCAAGGAGCAGACCCTGTCAGGGCTGGGTCTCAGTGCAGGGTCACACTCTGCCCCAGTGCTGTTGCTGCAGTGCACAGAGCGCCTCTGGGTCCCATTTCCACAGGTCACAGAGCACTGGGAAGGGAAGAGAGAGGGACAGGGCTGGGGGGCGAGGCTGGGAGCGGTGCCTGTGCCCTCACAGGGCTCCCTGTCCCCTGTGCCACAGTGCTTTGGGCACAGAGCTCCGTGTCACCCTGCCAGCTCCCACCCCTGGGCAGCTCCTGGGCCAGTGCCACCCCTGGGGTCACCCTGCTAAGCAGAGCATTAGTGCCCAAATGGGGCTGCCCTGTCCCAGAGCAGGGCTGGTGCTGTGGGCACTCTGCTCAGGGTGATCCCTGACCTGCACTCCTGCTCCAGCCACGAACAGTTTTCCCAGGAGATGGACGCTGGGAAGGGCAGGGGTGAGATGATCTAATGGGTCTTTGCTGTGACCTATTGCCATGAATTGCATCTCTTCTTCTAGAAGAGCATTCTTTGAAGCAGGGAATAACAACATGGGCGTTGTCTGAGTAGGGAAAAAGCAAAGGTCAGGAAGGAGCTGTGCTGGGGACACACGAACCCCCATAATGGGCTCTTTGACATGGGTCAGCACAAAAGAAACCGAGATGCTGTAAGGGAGAGCAGCAGCGTTTTCTGCTGCATTTGGGGCTTGGAGCAACCAGGACTTGTGAAAGGAGGGTGGAACCAGATGAGCTTTAGGGTCCTTTCCACCCCAGAGCATTCCAGGATTCTCTGGTAGCACCACGTGGCCACCACCAGGCATTTTTTAGGAGCTGGAACCAAACATTCCCAAACCTGTGAGAGGGCTGAGAGGAGCTGCTCCTGCCCCAGGATGGCACTGCCAAACCAGGCAAAACAAACAGAGATCCACTCCCAGCAGGCTGAAACTTCCCAGCAAAGCCTCCAGCTCCATCCAGGAGATATCACAGAGCTTTGGAGGGGGAAGGAGGGAGATTATCCACCAGGGCTGGGTCATCAGGAGAGCCCTTGGCACACAGATAAGGAGTGAGGGAAGCTTGCAGGAGGGCTCAGCCTTGGGCAGGAGGGCTCAGCCTTGGGCAGGAGGGCTCAGCCTTGGGCAGGAGGCATCAGGGCTGGCTGGCACAGCAGGATGTGCCCCTGCCAGGACACAGCCACCCCATCTGGGAGCTAAAAGACAACAACCCAGCCTTCTGATAATTTGGAATGCCCATAGAGCTGGGTGTACCCTGCTTCTGAGGCACTGAGTGAAGCAGTTGTGGGTCACCCAAACCTCTGGCAGTGCCAGGTGCTCCAGTGCCACATGGGCACACGTGTTCCTGCCTGGGCTCTGCAGGGACAAAGCTGTCCCACCCTGCTGGAGCTGCTGACAGAAGGACCCCGGCTCTGGGAAGCTCCCAAGCCCCTCCAATTCCCCTAATTATGGTGGTGGTGGAAATGGAGGAGAAAGAGGGCTCTCCCTTTAAATTAAAGGACAGAAAAATTACAGAACCTCAGACTCCCAAACACATTTCTGCTGGGCTCACAAATCCATTGGTGCCAACACCACAGAGGACAGCAGTGAGGGCTGGGGCTGGCCCTGCCCAGCACTGACCCACCAACAAGCCATAATTTTCCCCTTAAACCATTGCATCCATCTTTCTCAGCCCTTCATTGTGGCTTTTGTGGGCCCCTAGAAAAATATTTCCAACTCGCTCTCATCCAGCCTCCAAACTCCCTGTTCACATTTGATTCCATTTGTTCCTTAGCAACAAGCTCAGTTCCCAGGCTCTCTCCTTTCTCTCCTGATATTTGTCTTCACTCTGAACACTTTTGGAAGGGCTGCTTAAATCAGGAGTTATCATTTTCTGGTTGAAACCCTCAGCCTGTGGTTAAGCTGATTCATATAAACACAAAAATAAATCAAGCTTACACAGAGTGTCACCATCAATCACCCCATGGAATCATTCGGGTGGGAAGGGACCCTGAGCATCATCCAGCTCCACCCCCTGCCATGGGCAGGGACACCTTCCACTGCACCAGGCTGCTCCAAGCCATGTCCAGTTAAAAACCTCATTTCTGCCCTCCTGGTGCCAAGCACTGAGCGTGGCCCTCACCCTGTGAGAGGGAGCAGCAAAGCCCAGAGCTGGGACAGAGTTAAACCCAGAGTTAAACCCAGAGTTCAACTGCCCAGAGCTCCTTCCTCACCCTGGGACAGGGAGCAGCAAAACTCAGAGTTAAGGCAGAGTTAAACCCAGAGTTCAACTGCCCAGAGCTCCTTCCTCACCCTCCAAGCAATGGAATTTCCATCCCTGGGAGCTGCTGAGCCCACAGAGACACATCCATGGATTTTGTGGGAGCACACTGAGGTGGCTGGGGGCTCTGTCCCCAGCTCCCACCCCTTTGGGATGTCCCCTCTCACCTCAGACCAGTTGCCCACGGTCCATGGGGAGGGACAGGGGAGCTGGGGGTGGCAGGGTGCGGTGGCATCTGGCCTGGGCAGGTGCTGGCAGTGTGCTGGCTGCAAGGCCCTCTGCTCGTCCAGCCCCACGCTCTGGATGCACAGAACCGTCCTCTTCATCAGCCCTGCCCCGCCACACGAGGCTGAGCACTGCTGCCACTCACCCACCCACCACCTGTGCAGAGAGGGGACACGGGATGGGGACAGGGACAGGGGATGGGGAGAGGGGACAGAGACAGAGACGGAGAAGGAGAGGGGAGAGGGGAAAAGAGAAAAGGGGAAAGGGGGAAAGGGGAAAGGGGGAAAAAGGGGAAAGAGGAAAGGGGGAAAAGGGAAAGGGGGAAAAGGGAAAGGGAAAAGAGGAAAGAGAACAGATCTCAGGCAGGGCAAACAGCCGTGCCCCAGGATCCATCCCACCCACTGCCCATCACCTGGGGCCATGGGGAAATGAGAATCCCAAATGTGTCAGCCCAAGGTCCGGGAGCTCGGGTCAGGGTCAGGGATGGGACAATCCCCGAGCTGTGCCAGGGTGACGTGCACAGAGCAGAGAGGAGCATCCTGCCAGGATGGGACCCTCCCATGGACAGGCAATGCCCTGCTGTGCTCAGACAACCCCAGGGGTGCTGCCAGGGACAAGCACAGGGCCTGGGCCCCATGCCCAGGGTGAGGGAGAGGGGAGGAGAGGGGCAGGGCTCACCTGGCCGGGCAGGGCTCACCTGGCCGGGCAGGGCTCCTCGCTGCAGGTGCGCTGTTGGTCGTCGGGGCGGGTGAGGGCATCACAGAAGTGCTCCTCCACCAGACCTGCCAGCCTCTCCACACAGTGCACCACCTGCCTCTGCACCCCTGCGGGGGATGGACACTGAGGGCACCCCCAGGACACCCCCAGGACACCCCAGTGGCACTGACACCCCACGGGCACCAGCACAGCTTTGGGAGCCAAACCCCAGCACCCAGCTGTTACAGTGTGCTTCTTGTTCATGGTATGTTCTGTTATTGCCCAAGTTAATGGTTTAGTCCAAATTCATACCCTCCCAGCCACCCTGTCAATCTATCCTGAATTCTCTGTCAATCCTGCTTTGTGCCAGCCCCACTTGGAATTCCCCTTTAGAAATCCCCTAAAACTGGAGATCTCATTAGTCCTTAGACCCAGTTTTCCCCCCAACCTCTCTCATTGGACAATGCCTTTATGAACCCTATCCTTTACCATTCCCCACAATTTCTCCAGTTTCCCAAGAATTTGTGTCTTCCCCTTGACCCTCACTCATATTTAACTTGTTGCACCTTCACCATTTTTGTCTGTAGCCCAGTGGATTCCCCAAAGCAATAAATCCTTTTTATCCTATGCAAAAGAGCTCCCCTCCTCCTTGCCTCCTTCAAACACAATCTGACAGCCAAAAATCCATGGATCCATAGGTGGAGCCACATCTAAACCTCCCGCAGAAGAGTGTGACCCACTCTGGGCACGGGACCAGAGTGGCAAAGTGAGTTCAGCTCTGGCTGCTGTGTCCCCCAACCCCATCCTGCAGCAGGGAGGAGCCCCTTAGTGAGCCTGAGCCACCAGAACAGTGGAGAGAAAATAAAAACACCACTCAGAGCTGTAAGTTCATTTGTGCTGAGGGTGTGATGCCCTCCCAGAGCCCCATGGCACCAGTGCAGCTGGTGCAGGATGGCACCTCTGCCACACCCAGCCACTGGAGCTGTGTGCTCTGGGAGCTCTGGGGGCTGTGGGCACCCAAGGGGCAGCATCAGCTCCTGTGGCAGCCCTGCCCCAGCCCAGGTCAGGGACAAAACGCTGCCCAAAGCCCAGAGTGTGCCCAGAGTGTGCCCAGAGTGTGCCCAGGGGTTTGTAAGGGTGAGCTCCCCACGCTGCCTCGCTCCAGCTCTGTCCCCGTTCCTGTCACTCGTACTTGACCTGTGACATGAGAGCTGTCACAGCCTCAGCTGACACTGCCACAGCCCTGCTGGAGCTGCTGAGCTGGGCTCTGCCTCGGGCACTCAGGAGCCTGCAGGGCCCTGGCACTCACCAGAGGCTCAGAGTGAGCTCTCCCAAATCCACATCTCAGCTCCCATCACCATCAGTGCAGGCAGAGGGGCTCAGCCCTCCTGCAGCTGCTCACCCTCACCCCACTCCCCTATTTCCCTTCTGTTCTGGAAGCCAAGCACTCGAATCACACAAAGGAAAGCTGGTTTTAAACAAAGCCCCTGTCCTGGCACTCTGTGCTACCTAGAAAGTGTCCTTGAATTCCCCTTTCTTCCAGTGCCAGCTGCTCTCGAGGAAGCGCTTGCTGCTCCCAGCCTCCCCCAGCAGCGTTCCAAAAATGTCCCTCTGCATCAGTGCCCCAAAAGCTGCCCTGGGGACCCTGGGACACCCAGCCAGGGCAGTGGGGCAGGGCGGGGAGGAGCAAATGTCCACACACACACACTGCGGGACCCCAGGGCTCTCTGTAAAACCCTGGATATTCCCCCCTGGAGAGGCCCAGCCAGGCAGGAGAGCAGCCCTGCCACACTCCCCGATTTCTCTAAAGGTCCTTTGTCTCCGTCCCCTGCAGGGTAACAGGACACCGAGCTGGCAGCGAAGTGCTGACAAAGCCCGGGGGTTCCTTCAGCACCCGAGCCGTGACCTCCGCAGATGTCCCTTTCTTCTTCCCCTAAACCTCGTGAAACCCAAGAGCCAGGAACTCCAAAGGCTCCCCAGGGAGGCTGCACTGCTCGGGGTGGGTGTCCCGCAGGACTCACCTGTCCCACAGGTGGCCGTGCAGGTGGTCCAGGAGCCAAAGCGCCAGAGGAACTCGGGCTGCTCGATCTCGTTCTCGCTGTCGGCCGGGCGCTGGATCGTGTACTGGTACCTGACCCCGGGGTTGGTCTCCTGGAACAGCAGCTGGGGACACAGGGGACAGGGAGGGGCTGAACAGGACTGGGGACACAGCTGGGGACAGGGAGGGGATGAACAGGACTAGGGACACAGCTGGTGACACAGGGGACAGGCTGGGGGACACAGGGGATGAGCAGGGAGTGAACAGGAGCTGGGGGACACAGCTGGGGGGTGGCATTGCCCCCCTGGGGGCTTCTCAGGGGAGAAGAATCAAGTCCAGAAGGACGTGACCTGCGCCCAGCTCCACGACAGAGCTGGACGGGTCTCGGTTTGTGCAAGGTGTCCCTGCCCCGGCGTGGAATTTCCTAAACTGCCTCCCACTCCCAACAGGCTCCTGCTGCTCCTGGGGTTGACACAAGCCCTGCTCCGAGCGCCTCCCTCACCCGTGCTCACAGGGGCCGGGAGTTCATCCCTGTTTTTCTTAGCCTAAGCACTCCCATTATTGCCAAAGCTTTGTTGTTCTTGGAGCTTCGGCGGGAGCCAGGGCGCCTTTCCAAAACCTCTCCATGAACATCGAAACGTTCTTGTGCAAAGGTTTTAATTAGGTTATGAATCCCAGAAAGTGATTTGTGGTGCCAGCATTCCCATTAACAGCAGCCTTTGGTGGCAGCTGGCTCGGGATCCTGCCCACATCCCACCCCGAGCTGCTGCTGAAGGGAAGGCAGGAGGAGATTTTGGCTGCTCGAGCCCCTGCAAAGGCAGGGATGCTCCAGGGAGTGCATCAGGCCAGGGCAAGGGGATCCTGGGGGTCCACGGGATGCAGCTCCATGGCCAGCACCACCTCTGCACCACGAGGGATTCCAGCCTGGGGCCAGCTGTGCCACCATCGCCCATGGGATGATTCCCACTGCTCCTGCAGAGGAAGGCTTGGCCCCGTGGTCACAGGGATATTGACTCCTGGCAGCTCTGCATGACCTGGCAGCTCCCTCTCTCCTGACTGTCCAGCCCAGCCAGAAGCACTGGGGGCTCTTTCCCTGCTCGTGGTAAGATGCAGGAAAGCCTCAGGAAATGGCTCTTTCTCCTCCTGCTCCCTCTCCCCTGTCAATAATTTGCAGAATGCTGCACAGGGTTTGAGGCTCAGCTGGAAGTGCTGCGGGCTGGAAACACTGCCAGGGCCAGCAGAGAAACACACCCCAAGGAGGTGCAGAGGCTGCAGGGAGGGGCTGGGAGGGACCAGGGCAGCTCAGCCCCACAGGGAAGGCAGGATCCATCACACCTGGATCCACACGGGCTCCACGGTGGGCCCTGGAGAGGTGAGGTTCTCCCAGTTCCCCGTCCTCTTGTAGGTGAAGGTGGTGCCTGCCACCTTGTAGTCCCCGTTCCACTGGATGGTCCAGCCTCCATTCAGGAAATATTTCTCGGGGTCCTCGCTCCGCAGAGCCAGGAAATTCCCGGCCTCTGCCACCTCTTCAATCCGGATCTCCCGGGCTCCCACGGGGATAATCCCAATGTCCACATACCCTGGGAATGGAAAAAGCGTTGGTGCTGGTGCAGTCAGAGGTGTTGGAGATGATTTTTGTCCCCTGGGTGCCAGCACTGTGCCAATCCTTCCAGCTCTGCAAGGCACAGTGGGCACCCAACCCTACCTTGCCCTGAGCCCACCTGTGTTCCCTGTTGTCTTAACCCCAAAAAATCAACAAGTTGGAATTAAACCCCCTCTCCAAAGGAGCAGCTGTGCTGGGCCAGGCATGCTCTGGGGACAGCAGGAGGT